CAGAGGAAAGAAACCCAAACCCCTTTCCTCAGCCTTTCCCACGCAGCAATAGCGGCCCCAGGGCCCCTGTGGGTGCTGCTTACCAGGCTCTCTGCTGTCAGCTCGGGCAGCTCACACACCGTGCAGTGAGGATAATCCAGGACGGACACACTGCGGGAAACAGGCAGAGGGAATCATTAAGCACGTGGAAACAACTTCTGAAGATGAGCCACATGATTACACCCAGCCAGCTGTGAGATCTTCCTGCCCCTGCCCCCAATGGAACAAGGAGCTGGGCTGGGAGCAATCCCTTCTCCAGCACCCATGGGTGTCCCTCCTGCATTGCCAGTGGCATCCAAACGGGATCCCAACCTTCCCACTGCCTCCCCTCACAGCTTAAATGCAGCACAGGGATCCCTCTGGGCTCCCAGGAGCATCCCCAGGGCGTCAGGGAGGACTCCAGGGATTTGGATCCATGAAGACAGGACAGGTCATGGTGTATTTAAAAAGGGATAAAACCCAAAAAACCCCAAATAGATCCGAGGTTAAAATCTGCTGGGTTAAAATGGAGATGTCTGATTGGCAGCAGGAAAATTCACAGTGGGGGTGTCAGGTCTTTGGAAGCCCTCCAGGCACATGGACTTCGGAAAAGGAGTCAATTAAAACCTCCAAAGTATAAATTTATATATAATGGAAATAATTTGCCACAAGTCATCGTGGATTTGGCATCACCTCTGATGTTTCCCTTTGCAGCATCTCTGGAGTGGGGTCTGTGCATCGGAATGGGACCAAACCCCACCCCTGGAGTGGGGTCTGTGCCTCTGAGTGTGACCAAATCCCACCTCTGGAGTGGGGTCTGTGCCTCTGAGTGTGACCAAATCCCACCTCTGGAGTGGGGTCTGTGCATCGGAATGGGACCAAACCCCACCTCTGGAGTGGGGTCTGTGCCTCTGAACTGACCAAACCCCACCTCTGGAGTGGGGTCTGTGCCTCTGAGTGTGACCAAACCCCACATCTGGAGTGGGGTCTGTGCCCCTGAACTGACCAAATCCCACATCTGGAGTGGGGTCTGTGCCTCTGTGACTAAATTCCACCTCTGGAGTGGGGTCTGTGCCTCTGAACTGACCAAACCCCCCCTCTGGAGTGGGGTCTGTGCCCCTGAGTGTGACCAAACCCCCCAGGACAATTCCTTTTGCAGGCAGTGCCTGATGTTTGCAGTGCTCTGCCAATCCAGGGCTCTGGAGTTTGAACCTCCCTGGCTCAGAGCATCCAGCTGCACATCCCCCCTCATCCACAGGTGTGTGTCCTGTGGGACACCCCCCCAGGGAGCAGAGGGAGGAGCTCGGTGCTCCTGGGAGATGTTTCCTCCCAGCTCATGGCGCAGGACCAGGAGTGGAAACGTTTCTGGCAGGAACAATCGACACCTTCCCGTTTTCCCACGTGTTCCCTCTCACACACACAAACCACACCGTGCAGGAGGCACACTCAGCCCACACACACATAGCTGAGGAGCAACAAAAACAGCATCAAAAAGGAAGAAAAGGGGTGTTTTGGTTATTCCAGCGTCCCTCTGAACGGGGCAGTCCCACCCTGGTGAGCTGTGGAAGTGCAGGGCTCTCTCAGTTCGTGGTGGTCCCACCAGTTCCCTGCTCACACTGGGGCTGGTGCCTTTCTCAGATCAGCTCTAGAAGGCAGGGACAGCCATGTAGAAGATGAATTATGGCCATAAAATAGGGAGAGGACCACGAGGACACTCCCCCCGGCCGTTCTGAAGCTGTGGCCCGTGGGGGACACCGAGCTGCTCTCCAGGAGAAAGCTGAGAACAAGCCCAGCTTGTTTTAGCAGTGGTGTTTTAGTGAGAGGCTGGAAACCCACCACCCATCCCTCCTCCTCATGCCAAGGGCTTTGGCTCCTCCAGTGAATTCCTGCCCCAGAGCCCTGCAGGGACTGGAAGGTCACAGGTGCCACCCCAGACTCCCACCAGGGTTCCTCGTTCCCAAAGCCCTCTCCCTGCTCCATCCCGCCCAGAGGTGGCTGTACCTGTTCTTGGCAGTGATGTAGGACATGATGTTCTGGTTGAAGAACTTGAGGATCAGGGGGATGCAGTTGGCAAACACCAGGTGTTGGGACACGTACTCGAACTGCGGGGGAGAGAAGGGAAATGGGGTCAAAGTTGGGACAACTGGGAGCTCCACCTGGGAATGGGAACGTTTCCAGCCCAGAGCAAAGCGCTCCTGATGGCTTGAGGCACCTCCCAGACCTTCTGCCCCCCGGCCTGTGCCGTGTCCAGCAGCTGGAAAATCCCCTTTGCCATAGGGTGGCCACAGGAACTCCGGGGCAGAGCTTCAGGAACAGCTGCACCCCCAGCAAATGTGGCTTTGCAGCAGTAAAGCTGTGATAAAACAGAGCCTGGGGAACAGGGAAGGAGGAGCTGTGGCTGCTACCTGAGAAAATAATTCCTGCTGCTCTCCTGTACCAATCCCTCCTCCCTTGAAAATTTTGACTGAAAAAATGTCCTTGGCTTCAGAAATGCTTTCAGTGTTTGTTCCCCCTCAAAGCATGAAATGGTCTTTAAGGTCCTTTCCAGCCCAAACCATCCCATGGCTCTGTGGTTCCGTGATTTCAGCCCTGCCATGGTTTTTAGGGCGCTCCCTGAGTCCTTTTTGGCATCAAACTCTGGTGATGCCTCACCCAAAATCACCCCCAGGGGCAGGATCAGGGGCACCAAACCCCCCCCAGCTTTCTCCAGGCTCAGCACCAGGGTCCTCCTGCCTTGGAGGGAGAAAGGAGAGGAGCTGGAGCTGCTCTGGAGTGAGAAAAAGGAGGGAGGGGTCATGGGGAACCCCAGAACAAATGTGGGACTGTCAGAACAGGGGGGTTGTTTCATTCTGTGGATTTAAACTTATCCTACTGTTTCATTTTACCCAATGCAACGTGTGGGTTTCTATTTCCCCTCAGATAAATATCAGCCAATAACACAGATGGACTTGAACCATGCTGAAACCTTCAAAAGAAAAGAAATATTTAGAAATGCTTCAAAATGCTTGGAAAGCACTGCTTGTTTGACTGGCAGAACGGGTGGAGAGCTGGACCACAACTCATGTCAGTCCTGCTTTTTTTTTTTCCTTTAGATCAGGGAAAGTCCTGGAGTGGGTGCAGATGGCACAAAAATCAGATTATACCTCGGCCCCAGACCTGCCTCTGCTGAAACTGGAGCCTCCAGAACGTGATCCTGCCAAGAACCAGATTAGCTGACCCCACTGAGGTCCTTCCCAGCCTATTTCTGGTCACTGGAGATGACACAGAGCACGAGAAGGTCTTGCCTAACCCCCTCCCCGTCCCCCTTCTGCCAGCAGGGCTCGTGCTCGGGCTCTGTCCTAAATTCTAAGCTGAGAGGCCACAGCAGGAATTGTTCCAGAAGTCCTAAAGCTCCTTCCACGTGAGTGGAAACGCTGCTGCCAGAACACAGCTGAGGGATATTTCAGGCAGGTTCTCCCAGCCTGGGATAAATCCCAACCTGGAGCTGGGACGAGCCCCATGGACACGCGAGCTCCCCACGGAAACCCCTCCTGGAACTCTGCTAGGAGAGGGTTCCTCGGGACACACCGACCTCAAGGGCAGCCTGGCAGTGGCCAAGCCTGCTCTGGGCTCACCTGGTAGATGTGGTTGAGCTTGAAGTGCTTGAGGAGCAGCAGCAGCGAGGCCGAGATGCTCTTGACGATGATCTCCTTGTGCCTGTTGACGTCCATGCCCAGCTTCATGCTCTGCAGGACGGTGATGCTGGCAGGGAGGCAAGGAGACAGCACTGTGGGTGTGGGAGTGGGGGAACAAGGGGCACTGTGAGCTCGTGTTTGCCTGGACAAGCTCTATGGACATAGGGAGCTTTGTTTTTCCTGGGATTCCCCTTTCCATCCATCCTTCCTTCCTGCTGATGCCAAAGGGCACCAAAAAAAGGAGGGGGGGGGAAGTGGATTTCCATCCACCAGCAGTCCTGGGGGACAGGTATGAAGGACACCTTCCATATGCTGATGCATCTTCAGGATTTGGGTGGATTAGCAGGGTTTTACCATTTGGGTCACTCCCCCTCCAGAGCCCTGGGGCTGCCACCTGCACTGGCACCGTCACACCCCTGACAATCCAACAGCACCTCCCTGCCTTCCACCCCACTGCCCTGCTGGCAGCTCCCAGCTCTCCAAACAGACACCCCCAGCCCTGGAGCCCCCCAGAGCCAGCTCTCCAAACAGACACCCCCAGCCCTGGAGCCCCCCAGAGCCAGCTCTCCAAACAGACACCCCCAGCCCTGGAGCCCCCCAGAGCCAGCAGCACAGCCCCAGGCTGCTGGCACCGCTGGCACGAGGGGTCCCCGGGCAGCACTCACGGCATCTCCTCGGGCAGCACGTCCGCCAGGATGTTGATGGAGTCGGTCTTGGCCTTGGAGGTGGGGGCAGCAGCCAGCAGGATTTTTAGCAGAGCTATCTGCAGGAGAGGGGGGTGGGGAGGGTGGTCCCGGGGAGGGAAGTCCTTCCTTCTCCTCCCCTCACTGACACCGGACAACTTCAGGCCAACTCTACCACTCCACACCCAGCCTGTCCTTTTATCCCGTGGGAACACAGGCCAAGGGTGGGGTCATGGCAGCTCTGAGCTCAGCTTAAGGCATCCCACTCACCCGGGCTCTGGTGGTGTGGATAAAACACACAAAGGACACCTGGAACAGTTTTGGGCTCCCACCAATGCAGAGGACTGTGTTCCTTGCTCCCAATCCTCTGCCCACATCCTCTTTTCCAGCCACTGACCGTGTCCCTGGGTACCTGCACCCCTTGCTCCTCTGAATCCCTCCTCCTGGGCTGTGCCTTCCACCCAGCTCTGCTCTGGATCCCCACCAAGGTCTCACCATCCAAGTCCTGACCACCCCCCAGGCCATCCCATGCTGAGCTCTGCAGCTCCCAGAGCAGCTCCCACCATTCCCCACCCCAAAGCTCTTCCCTCCTTCTCCTGGGCTTCCCATCTGCAGCTCCCAGACCAGCTCCCACCATTCCCCACCCCAAAGCTCTTCCCTCCTTCTCCTGGGCTTCCCATCTGCAGCTCCCAGACCAGCTCCCACCATTCCCCAAAGCTCTCCCTTCCTTCTCCTGGGCTTACCATGTACTGGGGCAGGTTGTACAGCATGGCTCGATACAAGACCTCACAGGGGGTTTCTTGGACTTCCTCCTCCCCCTGTCACGGAGAAACAGCAGAGAACAAGGCAAAAGGAATTAAAACAAAAAGAATTCTTGGATTCCTCTGACACACCTGGGTCTGGTGATGGGGGGGCAGCAGCTTCTCACCAGAGACATGGGGCACTTCTCCAGCTCCTCCTCGTTCTTGATCTGGACATCCGAGATGGAAACGTACTTGTGCTGGGAAAACACCCCCCCAGAGGCACAGCAGTGTCACTACTGTCACCACAGGCAGCGGTGGCAACAGGCACTGCTTCCAGCAGTATCCCAGTTATATCCCAGTATCCCCAGTGGGGACACAGAGATCCTGCTGTGTGGGATGTTCCTCTGTCCCAGAGCCCCTCACACCTCCTGCCTCGGATTCCTTCCACCCACTCCTTCTGGCACCTCCCTGGGGGTAAATGGAGAGGGACAATCCCCTCCAAAAGACAGCCCAGACCAGAGACAGGGTCACTCAGCCCCTGGAGGGGCCTCCCTCCAGCTGGAGCAGGGCTGGAGCCAAGGCTGGCCACGCTTCCCGCCGGGATCTGCACTGCTCTGGGATGGGTGTGTGTCCAAACCCAACCCTGGCAGTCTCCAAAACTCAAGGCAAGCACTCACCAGGGAGCAGGAATGCCATGCCATGGACAAAGGGAAAGTAAAACTGCTGGATATCTGCTTGGAATTCCAGGGAGGACTCAGATTTAATTTTTTTGCCCCGGAAGAAGCTCCAAAAACCTTTCCCGCTACAACTAACAAGGAGGATCTTCTCACTCCCTCCAGGAACTGTGTTTCAGCCAGAGGTTATCCAGGAGGATCCCACACCACAACAGCATATCCCAGGTGCTGTGCATGGATCCACCACCTCACCTGCTTCAGAGTCTTCACACTTTCATGGATGGGCCGTGGGAGCCCGATCAGGGTCTCAGTGTCCCTGGGGAGGGAAAGGGAGGGGAGCACAGGGTTATGTGAGGTAAACGAGGGAGCCTGGAGTCTACTGGACACATCCCAGCTGGGGCAGGAACTGGGAGAAGGGTTGGTATGAGGTGTCCACCCTCCCATCTCCTCCCCAGGGAAGCTCCTCCAAGAAAGGAGCAACGTCAGGGTGAGGAACTGGGGTGAAATGGGATGAAATAGGGGCTGGGGTGGAGCCATCCTGAGCCCAGCACTGCACCTAAAACTGCCTGGCCCCCTCTGGGGATGGCTCTGCACCCACAGCTTGGTTTGTTCCTGGACTGGGTCATTTCCTGAGGATGCCAAACCGTTTCAGCTCCCTCCCACATCAAACTCGTCCCGGCCTCGGGCCAGGGGTCTCCTGCTCCAGGTCTCACTTTTGACAGAAAGGGGCCCTTGGGGAGCAGTGTCTCCAAGAACAGGCTTTCCCAACATTGCTCTCACTTGAGCTGGGAACACTTGAGCTTTGTGGACACCTCCCATGCACTGCTGGGATCCACAGGACAGGTTCTGGGGACACGACACTCACTGTCCCAGCGTGAATCCGATGAACTTGTTCCTGCTTGCCTCCAGGAAATGCTCGATGTCCTTCTGTCTGAGGGAGCAGAGGAGAAACAGAGAGCAAGGAGGAGGTTGGAAAACGGATCACAGCCTTGGATTGATTTCTGGAGGTCCCCTTAGCAACGGGAAAAGCCACCACTGGTTGGAACCAAACCTGTTTGTATCTGCTGGGCAGCTCTGCTCTTCCACGGGAAAACAAACAACCACCAGCTCTACAACCAGCACCCTTCCCTCCACCTCCTGTGCTCCTCCCACAGGCACCCCCAGAGGAGCATCTGCTCGCTCTGAGTGAACAAATGTTGTCTCTGTGGTCTGCCCGAGCTCGTGCTGCTCCCAGAGCGAGCCGACACCTCCGACGCCTCGGGCGTTTTCGTGGGAACTGCTCGGGATCAGCAGGACACGAGCCACAAGCCAAGGATCTCAGGGGCAGAGAAGTCCAGCTGGATTTCCAGGGCCAAGGGAAACAACAGGAGGTTGCTGGGGACAGGCTGAGAGCGTCCAGTGGCGTGGGGAACCACGGCACCGTGTGGGGAGATCCGTGCGGAAAATGATTCCCGCCGTGTCCCTCCAGATGGACCAGCTTAACCCACAGCAGGAGCAACTCTGTGTGCTCCTGTGTGTCACAGGTGCTGGGCTACAGCCAGGCCTTGGACAAGCAGCAACAGCCCTGGGATGGATCAGAGGGAAGGGCAGAGCTTTGCACCCTCTTTTCCTGACGTTCCCTCATCCCCATGTGTGGAAAACCGCTCTGAGGGGGGAAAAGGCACCAACTCCTTCATCTGTGGATGTTTTTCTCCACCGTTCAGGAAGGTGCCACACGAGAGTCCAGCTCAGCAAGGCAGCTGTCAATCATTGACCAGTTCCCAGCAGGATCAGCTGAGGACCTTGCCCTTCCAAGATTCACCGGTGCCAGCTGGGAAAGCTGACCCTGCTCCAGCACAGCCTCCTTCCCAGTACAACCTGGGATATCCACAGTGGAACTGCCACTGCTTGGCCAAGCTTGGGTTTAAAACCCTGGGGAAGAGCTCAGCTACACCCAGCCCAGAAGGGACCAAACGAGACAGAACAAGGAGCGGAGTCACCTCAGTTCAGCCCCCCAGGAGACTTCCCACAGGCTGACGTGGGGCTGGGGAGGATGGCAGTGACACCAGGGGGCTTTACCTGACTTTGGGGGCCCAGGGCAGCCCCTTGGGGAAGGACACCCTGTCGATGGGCGGGCGCTGCGGGGGCAGTGGGGGGACGATCGTGTCCCGCTCCAGCAGGTCCAGCTCCCCCTCGATCCCGCTGTCCACGTCATCGTTCTCCTCCTCATCCACTCCTGCCTCGTCGTTCTTGAAGGGGTCTCTCTCGTTGTAGATGTCCAAGCTGTCCTGCTTCACCAGGGGCTGCAGCACAAGGGGAAGGAGGCACCCAAGTCACCCCATGGATTTTATTTCCCTGCCAGCTGTCGGCACCAGATCTCTCCATCCTGGAAGGATCGAGCTCCTAGATGTTCCTCAGGGGAGGATTTCCCTCCTAGCCTGGCCTGGATAAGGAATAACTCCTTCTGCACCTCTAACCTCGCAGCTCTAGGAGGTGGGAACCCCTTATCCACCTTAACTTCTGGAGCTTCCATCCCACATCTCTTCCCTCGCAAAAGGCATTTCATCCTCAGGCCACAACCCAGCAGCTCCAGGAGAGGAGCTAAAAACAGAACCTGCTGGGAGCAGTTTGCTCCTGGTGCTTATCAGCCCTTTGCCAGAGGGTTGGGATGTCCTCTGGCTTCCTCTGCACAAACCCACCAGGGGCTGAGCTGCCACCACGGGAACTGGGGGGGTGGAAAACTGGACACACCCTGGCCACGTGTCCTGAGAGCCCAAACCCAGCTGTGCCCTGGGCTGATCCCACAGGGATCGTGGGCAGCAGGGCAGGAGGGGATCCTGCCCCTCTGCCCCCTCAGGGGAGACCCCCCTGCAGAGCTGCCCCAGCCCTGGGAACAGCAGCACAAGGACGTGGAGCTGCTGGAGAGAGTCCAGAGGAGGCCCCGGAGCTGCTCCCAGGGCTGGATCCCTCTGCTCTGGAGCCAGGCTGGGACAGCTGGGGGGGATCACCTGGAGAAGAGAAGGATCCAGGGAGACCTGAGAGCCCCTTGCAGGGCCTGAAGGGGCTCCAGGAGAGCTGGAGAGGGACTGGGGACAAGGGATGGAGGGACAG